CTCGCATCATCCTCGTGGCCTCCTCTGCACTGGCTCCAGTAGCTCCAGGTCTCTCTTGTGTTGGGGGCTCCAGAACTGGACGTCATATTCCTGGTGGAAGTAGAGGGGCAGAATCACCTCCTTGACCTGCTGGCCACGCTTCTCTTGATGCAGCCCAGGATACAGCTGGCCTTCTGGGCTGCAAGTGCACATTGTCTGCTCATGTTCAGCTTCTCAAGATGTCTTGTTAAACTAAAAAAAGGAGTTTACTTATTTTCTAATACCAGGGTAGGGGTCTTTCCACCACTGCTGCCACCCCTGCTTGCTCCTCTCTGGAAAGCAACGCTTCCTCTGGACACCTGCCCTGGAATGAGCTCCTCTCTGCAGGGATGGAGGGAAAGGCTGTGGGTCCCCGGGTTTATTTCCAAAGGATGCAGATGTAGCCCTACACCGATAGCATCGGTTCCTGGTGTGGGTGGTAGGAAATGGGTGAGTTCCCAGGTGTTCCCTTTTCACAGCTCTGAAGGGAAAATGTGCAGTACCACGGTGGTCTGTGAGACTGGGGGAGTTTCCAAAGTCCACGTGGACAGGGCTCTTCCCCTTCTTCTTTTCCTACTCTTGACCCTGCCGTCAAGTCAAAAATCTGCCAGGGGAAAAGAAGGGGTGGTGGGGAAGACATGTTTGGAGGTAACGTGACCAGAAATAGAACTGTTTAGGGAACGAGAGCACAGCAGTTGCAACAGGAGGAAGATGAGGCTTTTGTCTCTTCTGAAGGGCGAAACGACAGAAATTGGGGGATAATCAAAGCAGCTATGATAACGTGATGAATTCATTGTAATTAAGCCAGCTGCCAGTGCAGCAAGAATAAATGCAGCTCTGCCTGATTGCCCTTCTTTACCCGCAGGCTGTCTACAAGCTGGCGGACGTGGCCTGCAAGTGCCACGGTGTGTCGGGCTCCTGCAGCCTCAAGACCTGCTGGCTGCAGCTGGCTGACTTCCGCAAGGTGGGCGACCTGCTGAAGGAGAAGTACGACAGCGCCGCTGCCATGAGGATCAGTCGCAAGGGCAAGCTGGAGCTGGTGAACAATCGTTTCAACATGCCGACTCAAGAGGACCTGGTCTACGTTGACCCCAGCCCGGACTATTGCTTGCGCAATGAGACCACTGGTTCGCTGGGCACTCAGGGCCGGCTGTGCAACAAGACCTCAGAGGGCATGGATGGGTGTGAGCTGATGTGCTGCGGACGGGGTTATGACCAGTTCAAGAGCGTCCAGGTGGAGCGTTGCCACTGCAAGTTCCATTGGTGCTGTTATGTCAAGTGTAAAAAGTGCACAGAGATCGTCGACCAGTACGTCTGTAAATGAAAAGAGCCACCAAAGCAACAAATCTATATTATATAAATCTATATAAATATATTTTATATTTGTATAAATAAACAGATGATGATAATAATTAAAGAAGCTTATTTAAGAGACATTTTTGGTTTTGAAATTTCCCCCAATCAGGCCGGCTGCTTTGCCATTCCTGCAGTTCTGCTGGGGAGTTTTGCCTCTGGGTGCACCTCCCCTTGGATGTTGCAGTCAGGGTGAAGAGGCTGAGGAGGTGCTGACAGAGTGAGCTCTCCCCCTGCACGCAAGCACATACTGTTTCTTCACAGAAACAAAGCCAGCGAGAAGGAGAAGAGTGGCTTCTTCCTGCTCTCTCGTTGGTAAATCTCAGCCTTTTTTTTGCATAGTTATTGCGCATCTGAAATTACAGCCAGGCATTTTTGAGTCCTAGTCACCTTGTGTTTCAAACCCTGCCACCCCACTAAACCCGCTGGAGAATTGAACCAATTCTTGGTACCTCTCAAGGGCTTTGTCACATTACAGGGGAAGTTAGCCAAGGTTCCTCTGCAAGAGCAAAGGCTTAAAACCCAGAGTCCTGTAAACCATTCCTGGACGCTGCACAGACCACAGTGTGGTGGAGGAAGGTTTACAACCTGCTGTTGTGAGGAGGGAAGGTGTGACCTGTGGTTGACCAGTGCACAGACTGGGAGTCTCCATGGAGCCAGCACCTAGTTCTTCTGTACCGCCTGGGCCGAGGGGGAATCGGACCAGCTCAGGCTACAGGGCTGTGTGCAGGAGGGAGGTTTTATTTTTTTTTTTCCTTTTAAGCCCATTCTGAAACTTATTTTGTCAATAGAGAGGAGGAAATGCAGGTGCCCAGGGGTATTTGCAAAGGCAATATACTTTATATTTTGTCAGTGGAAAGAAGCATTGTGTGCACACGACTGCGTGAGCGCTCCTCATCCCGCTGCTGGGTTTCCTCTTTGAAGTGGCTGCAGGTGGTCACCTTGTTCAGCTCTATTAAATCCTCCTCACCACCATCCCAGATGTATAGTTTCTCTTTAACATTAAACACCCCTCAATTACATTTCTTTCCCTCTGTTGCTCGTGTATATGTGTGGTTTTGTTTTATTCTTTTGGTGGGGTGCCTTTTATTTTGCTGCTCTGTATTTCAGAGTCCAAGGGCCATGCTCTTCCCCAGCAGAAGTTAACCACAGGTATGTTTGCTCCCAGGATGTGGGAGTCTGTTCACCAATGGAAGGGTTTTTTTGGGTTTTTTTCTGTGTTTTTAGTTGGTAATAAAAGAGTATAATAAAGTTGTACTAGGGCAGAAGGCATTACCAAAGTCTGCTAATCAGTTTTAACCATGTGGGAATTTTAGTAGAATCCAATTCATAAAGCAGGGAGGGAAAAAAAAAAAAGCTGTTTCTAGCACAAGATGTTTCCTGGGCCTCTCGGCATCTGCAGAGTTCATTCGCAGTCAGAACAATCAAGAGAAAGCCAGTCCCCAAAATACAAGGGTTTGCTAATATATATCTGCATTGTTACTGACATTCCAAGGATTTTTTTATTATTTTTTTACTGTAAATTTTAAAATGCGTAAAATATGCCAGTAAGGAAAGAGCCAGTCATGCAGATTATTATTTTTATATTAAACCTCTGTTTTTTATAAAGCATTGCAGTTTTATAGATTCCACCATTTCAACCACCAGAGAAGAATTTATATGTACCTTTCATACTTCAAATATTTGAGGACTCCAGAAAAGCACAAGGAAGAAAAATTATGTTTAATAATTAGGAGCTGTTGTTTTTTTTAAACCAATGTGTCCAGGGTTTTTTTTTTTTTGTTGTTATTTTTTTTTTTTTTTAAAATCCAGCAGGCAATATATTTGCTGGCATCCCAGAATGCAGTTTCTTGGAATATAAACAGTGGCCTGGATTTATTTTATTATATAAAAATCCAAAGCCAGTGGTATTGTAATTCAAAGTAACGGAAATAGTTTTCCATGCATGGAAAAAATGTGAGTGCAATGGCCTGATCCAACTCCCATTAAACTTCAGTGGGAGCTGGAGCGAGCCCAAGATTGGATCAAATGTGTGAGCTATTCACTCCTGGGATACTCTGTGTTTCTAGCTCAGTAATAAAACTCACTCTACCTTGGGTACATCTCAAAAAAGACCTTTCCTCCCACCACCCTCACCCCCGTGTTCTTGTCCATCCTTATTGCGTCAGTACTTAAAGGTGTTGGCTGTTTGTATACGACACCCTCAGGTATTGTTAATGTGCCTCATAATTCCACATGATTTCATTTGGCTTTCCCTGTAAAGACCACACATTTAAGAGGTGGGGGGGGGGGGGTCAAA